CCTTTGACAGATAAGTGTTACCTAACTCTTACTCAGGCCATGAAGATGGGCCTCGGAGGAAATCCTTATGGTCCAGCTGGAACTGGGAAGACAGAATCAGTAAAGGCCTTGGGTGGGATTCTTGGAAGACAAGTATTAGTCTTTAATTGTGATGAGGTGAATATGGTTTTGTTTAATTTAGGAAATGGATATCTATACCCATATTTCATAAAGCAATATTGCATTCCAGATTAATATAAAAATTAGAATATTAAGTTTTATTATATAAATTATTATTATTATTAGTAGTAGTTGTATTGATATTGTTATGGAAATTACACTGATAATTTGTCAGTTGTCATTAGAAATTTGTGGATATTTTCAAGGTCCTGCTTTTTAGTGGATGGGAAGACATTCTTATATATTTTCTTGTTATTGGAATTTTGACAACATTCTTTTCAATTGCAAGGGCATTGATGTGAAGTCAATGGGACGCATATTTGTGGGCTTAGTGAAGTGTGGTGCCTGGGGCTGTTTTGATGAATTCAACAGACTTGAGGAAGCTGTATTGTCTGCAGTATCCATGCAGGTTCAGACAATTCAACATGCATTGAAGAAACACAGTCCTGTATGTGAGATGCTTGGCAAAAAGGTACAGCAAAACTTAATGATCTTCTTCACATTGATCACACTTAACTGATTACTGTAACTAAACACAGTCCACCCAGCATTTCTCAATACTGTTTCGTCTGACAATACCATTACAATGTACTTCTCATGCTAGGTTGAAATGGATCCCAATTCTGGAATTTTTATCACTCTGAATCCTGCTGGAAAAGGTTATGGAGGAAGACAAAAATTGCCTGATAACCTCAAGCAACTTTTCAGGCCAGTTGCTATGACTCATCCGGACAATGAACTCATTGCGGAAGTTATTTTGTATTCAGAAGGCTTTAAGGATGCTAAAATACTGGGTAGAAAATTAGTGGCTATTTTTAATCTAGCAAGGTAAGTTTTCACCACCTCACCTCTCCCCTCCTTAGTAAAATTACATTTCTAATTCTCTTCCCTTGTAGCTCTTAAATCTAAATGGTTTACCATGCAAATCTCTGTACAGATCCTTTTAATTTATAAAGTTAAAATACTGCAATATATTGGGAGATGTGAAAATATCTTGAGTTCAGTTACAATCTCAAGGGATCAAATTGCTGCTCCTCTAGTATCTCACTAAATATAAATGTAAGCATATGAATGCTCACAAGCATTGTGCTGTATTGAACTCTTAAAATTGTTGAAATGTAACTGACTATTTGGTTAAAACTGTGTGCATTAGAGAGTACAGAGGTCTAAAGTTATAGTGAACGCTGTTAGGGTCAATAGTAGATATGTGTTGGGTATAACCACTCTGAAAATTCCAGAGTGCCATTGCTGTATTTCTGAAATGCATTTCAGATGACACTACAAACACGTCCCAGTTTCTTTTTTGACCAAACCTGTACTTGAAGTGTACTAATTCACCAATCCAAAATTTCAGATGCTGTCGCCTAGAGCTTATTATGATATTGTTTTTCAATTCAGGGAGCTTCTGACACCACAGCAGCATTATGATTGGGGTTTACGAGCTCTGAAGACTGTTTTGAGAGGCTGTGGCAGCCTTCTTCATCAGCTGAAGAAAAGCAATGCAAAGCAAGAAGGTAAGATTGACCATACCAAACTTTAGATTCTTTAGGATCTTGTACAAATATAATTCACTCCAGCTTTTTTGTTTACTGGAGTTTTGAAAAGCATTGGCTTGTATCTGTAGGCAATTTAGAAAAGAAGAAAATATCTATGAAAGCCCACCTTCACTAGGACATCACAAAATATTTGTCATATTCTAAATGGAGCTTTTGTATGATGGTAAGAACACAGATCACAGGACTTCATTTGGGAATAATTTTAAATTATTCTCAAAGATTTGTTTTCACTTGACTTAGGACAGGAAAGTTGATCTTCTGATGCTGTCAGTATTCATTATTTATCAGACCATTTTGACTCAATTTGAGTTTTCCAAAACTGTCACATGGCACTAGATTCAGATTGGTAGACAGAGACAAATATAAGGATAGATAGGAATGATAGAAATATATTGGACTAGACTGAGTCACTGCATTTTTTAAATATTTTTTGAGTTATTGTTGTTTAGGTATTAAATGAGGGGATTAAAGATTGTGGAATGGATGAGCATTTGACATCTTTAGGGGACAAGTACTGGTTCCTGTTTGCTTAAACAGCATATATCTGGAAGTTTACAAATTTTGACATAACAAATGGTCTGCGTCTGACCAGCATCATAACCACCTGATATCTTTATAGAATGCATTTGTGGGCATATGTCAATATTTACAATAAGTATGCCTAACTGTGCTGAGCTTCCAAGTAGAATGGTGCATGAAGTGTAATTCTGGAATCTATGCTCCATACTTTCAGCATATGAGCAGTGTTGACACATCTGAAACTGATCCGTTTTCTTTGTTTTTCTTTCCAGTTAACGAAAGTCACATAGTGGTTCAAGCTTTGAGGCTGAACACCATATCAAAGCTTACATTTGCAGACTGCACACGTTTTGATGAGCTGGTTAAAGATGTATTTCCTGGCACTGATTCTAAAGATGTGGAATATGCTGAGTTAGCTGCAGCTTTAGAACAAGTCTTTGAAGAAGCAAACTTGGAAATTATAAGCACACAGGTAAAGATCAACTATAGCAACAAAGCAGTATTATTCTGAATTA